AACTTTTAATGTGGGACATTAAAAGAAAAAGTCTCTGAACCAGTAAATCCATGAAAACTGAAGCACACAGAGAGGTGTACATACTATACAAAAGAAAGGTTATATGTTTGTTGCCATTTATTTCACAACAAATACATGCATCTTTTCAGGGGAGAATTTTACAATACCTGAAAACAAGCTTTATTACTTTTCATTCTTCAGTTAAGCAATATCATTTGCACATCATAAAATGTGTACCTAAAGTAAATATTAATGCTTGCTGAAAATCAATTGACTATAAGCAACTGAAGACATCCTGACTAGGTTGTTTCATGTCAGTGTATGAGTAAATGTAGTCCATGTTCACTCACCGTGTTCAAATCCCCATCATTATAGATTGGATACAAGTTGGAAGGGACTGACATCTCCCTCTAACAGGTCTCATATTACCACCAGTTATCTAGAAAAACACAAACAAGATAGAAAAAAACCGATATTAGAATTAGAAGTCATATCATTAAATGACTTTTCCTCTGGAAATTCTTGACTGCATCCATCCATCCATTCATCTATCAAGCCAGCCAGACAGCCAGTTTTCCTGTTTCTTTGGCATTAGTACACTTAGTACAAGAATGATTAACAACACCAAGACCTTCTTTTGGCTCTGATTGGTTATTTTTGACCATGAGTGGTGCATTTTTGCCGATCACTTTTGTAGCTCAGGGAGCTACAAAAGCTCCCTGAGCTTAACCGGTTATGAGACCGGTTATCTGTCTCATAACCCCATATCGTCATTTGTATCATATATGATACATAAGTTTCTGTGGTCTATATTTTTTACACCACGATCAATACTTACCCAAACAACCTATTATATACAATTTGAGACTTGTATTCTGCCATCTAGTGGATTATCATTGCACTGCAGGCAGAGAAACAGCGTTTTTTTCTCTTTTCAAAATGTCATTTCTACGGAAGCGCATTGCTATCACGCAGGAAAAAAAAAAATTCGAGCGCTAATGCACGAGACTGGTCAGATGCATTTTCCAGGAAAGTCTTTGCCAATTTTAGAAAACTTACATTAAAAATAATATATACATTGTTATTCACTTTTTTAAAATAATGTTTTATGTTTTGAAATAATGTACAATTACTTAGAAATGTTTTTGTTACATTACATTTAAATTGTGTTAAAACGTGTGTATCGTATTTGATGCTACAGTTATTGAAGGTACGTTATCACTGAACAGCAATGTAATATTTTTATAAAGTAATCAATGTCATACAAGCCACAATTCAGCCACAAACCTTTGCTTACTCAATAATTATCATTAAATGTCATTTCAAAATAAAGTTGGTTTTTTTTTCACAATAGTAGTTATTCTAAAACCATAATCTTTATGGTGTATCGACTATGTATATTTTAGATTTAACAGGAGTAAAGAAAGAAGAGAGAGAAAGAAAATACTTTGAATAGTCATCAACATGATAATGTATGACAATTCAAGCTACATAGAGCAGTAAGGAGAAGATGATGAGGATTATGATGAGGACTGGACTCCCCCGGCCATGCATGATGAAGGAACTGCCACCCCATGCCACCCCAGTAGATCCGCCCCTGGATATTCAGATACCAACTATGATGAAGACTATGATGATCATAGTGTCTAAACAGGTCCAGGTCCAAACAACTACCCTGGACACAGTCAGAAATTAATCAGTTAAGACCAATATGAAAAGCAAATAATACAAATGGAGAAAAATACTGTCAAGCTCCATATATTGATGTCACTGCCGGGGTTGAGGAAGGCTCAAAGACCAGGTGTTACATAACTCCATTTATATATTCAAGCACTTTGTCACTGATGAAATGCTCCAGGGGATCACAGAACACATTCCACTGGTTCAATGCCAACAAATGAAGAAATAGGTTCACTACCTAGACCACAATTAATAAGCATTTTTGAAGTTTGGCTTTAGATTCCAAAGATAGTGCATGTACATCTAGTGGCACACTGTTAAAGTAACCATCATCAATGCTTGAAATTTCAACAGAAGAGATTAGATGAAGCTACACCCTAAAATGATTTAGTTGGCACTTTTCCTACAAGTGCAGGAAAGGTCAAAATCAAGTATCTCCTGAAGCGACTTCAAGGGCACCCTGTAGAAGACCAAGCTGCAGTGTGCCTCTTGATGTGAGAAAGAATAGCATTGATCATTGTCCAACATGGGAAGCCCAACAGAGACTCAAGCATTGTTCTGGAAATCACTTTTCACATTTCTACTGTAAAACGTTGAACGTACATCTTTGCCTGAACAAGGACAGAAACTCTTTTAGTGCCTACCACGAAATGAAATAAATGGCTGTAAAAAGTTGTTGGTGGAAAAGAAACTAAGAGAAAAACTTCCTAAAGTGTTCCATACTTTCTAAATATTATAGGCAATATTTGTTTTTGCATCTAAAACTTACATTGTTGTGAGCCAAAAGTTCTAAGAAAAGCCTGCTGTATCAAATGTGATACAAAAATATCTCATAAAATAAATGACATGGCAATTTTTTTATTTTTTATTTTATTTTTGCTTCAAGGCTTCATGAAGATCCTAATTCTAAAAATTAAGAATTTTCTGACTATTTTTGATGGGTCAGGAGAGAAAGCATAAGACAGGTTATTTGTCTCATAACATACTTTCACGACATAATGACAGTTAGCAAATATGTAAAGACAGATTTTTGAATAAAAGTTGCATATTGTAGCTTTACGATATCTCATGTTTGTTACGGTACTTACTAATCCATTTGTAACAGTGGTGAGAAAGAAATGGGGTCTTGATTTTTGATCAATCATGATCAAATTTAATCTAGAGAAGAATTAATTAGTTTTATTAATACGCCATTATCATTTATCAAATTCTTATGATTTACTTTCCAGTGCTGTTTCAGAAGAGGTGGAAGTGTTAGACAAGATCAGTTTTGTTCAATAAGCTAGCAGCTTCTTCAGTAGGCTTTTTATTGGGTACAATTAGAAATAAAGTCTGGATCTATTTTTAATTCAAATAAACAAAACAAAGTCATAAGTGAGTACAGCATGATAACCAAAATACTGCAAATATACACAGCAAATCCAGCAGGCCCAATTTAACTCTGTCAGATTCGACTTTCACACTTTTAAAGTGTCTATATGGGTCCTTACCAGAGTGTCAATTTAACTCTGTCTGGAGTAAGTCATTTAACACCAACATTAATTCAGTGTTGGAGCTTAAATATTAACTCTACTTCATAAGAGGTATTTGTAATTAATACTAAATAGATAAACATTTTATTGTTTTGAACTTTTAGAAATTATTTGGAAAATAAACATTTAATAAAGAGGCAATGACATGCACCATAATTAGAAAACATGTAACATGGAATAATGTACACTTTCATGTTTTACATGTTCCTTTTATTCAACTATTGCTCATCAAGAGGCCTGACATGTCAGCTGGTCAATGCAGAAAACAGTTTGCATGATACATTTTTCTTCAATGCAATATGCATGAAATTGTTCAAAGTACAAGGTGAAGAAAGTAATGCATGCAGTTCATGTAATAAGATATTGTTTCTTTGTTGTTTTTTTTTAAACATAAGTAGATTACTGGATATTACAGTACAGAACAGGCCAACCTGGTATTCAATATCATTATTTCTTACCCAGTTTGTGTTTCTGTTGAACATCTAATAAGAGAAAGGGCCTCTCTGCACTCCTTCAAAGAGCTGTCCATCCACAGATTGTCTTCGGGT